TACCCTGGAGATTACTTCAGCGTAGTTGGAGGAAAATGCTGCATGATCCCTGAATAACACACAGTTGAAGCATTAAGTCCAGCATACACCCACTGTCCTTCAAAAAAGTGGCACTAGTCTAACCAAATATAATAGCCTATCATCTAGGGCACTCGCTAACGAGTGACAGATCTGGGTTAAATTTCCTCTAACCAAGGTAACTCCAACTCACAGACATCTATATTCCTCTGACATCTACCTCATAATTACCACTGGAGACACTTTCCCACCTATGATGGATTCCTAGCCAGAAGGGCCAAAATGAGGGTACACTGGTATCCCTGACCCTTATTTTTCAGAACACTTATGCATTTTACACTGGCAAGCCATTACATAGAAAAAAAAAAAAAAAGACATCCACTGCACAGGCATCAGAACGCTTATGTGTATCCTCGACTCGCACATGCTCCTCCATCTGGGCACCCTAACTTCTGGGAAGCTCCCCAGTCAACACGTGAGTTTTCTTGAACAACCTTTTGGCAGTCCATTGAACAAAACGGAGGCTAACTCCAGCTCAGTGAGTCACCCTGCCGGGGCAAAACACCTAAAAATCTCTGGATCACACCCTACATGCTTTGTTATGATTACAAAAAGCAGATGCATACTTTTCTAGTGACTTGATATGATTCTTTTTTTCTTTTTTTTTTTAACAATGATGTGTAATAGGGAGAATGATGATAAAAGTAAACAAAATTCATCAGGGAATATCAGAGTGATTTATTTGCATTCTGATTTAAACATAGACTACAGAAATGCTGCTCGCTCTTTTTCAGAGTAAGTTTTGGATTGTTTTAAGACATGAAATATTTGAACACATATCCAGTCATTTAAAAAATGCAGAATACTCTTCTACCCAGTTCTCCATATAAGATCTAAAATACATAATACTAGGGTACTTCATGGGGTAAAGGGGAAGGAAATTAATGAGTTATTGTTACAAACATAAGCAGAGAAAGGTGCCATTGCTCCCTACATTCAAATGAGTTCAGCAGGCAACCTGCTTTTACAGCTGTTTAATCTTTTTGTGACATTCTGTATTTGCCTTTCCACGATGTTCCCGACCATAAAACCTCTTCCCCCTAACCTTTACACGCTCACTTGCTTTCCCATGAGAGACTTCTGGAATGCCTAATGACAACTGACAAAAGCAGGATTTTACAGCCAAATGTCCATTTAGTGGCAGAATGCTGAAGTGGCACTCGCTGGATTCCACCAGCCACAAGGGCAAAGAAAAAGCCAACTGCTGTACCCAGATGCTTACAGACCTTGTTCCCTTCTAAGGTACACTGTTAACGAATCAAAAATAGCTCTATTCAGGTCAATGGATAAAAATAGTTCCAAACCTGTTACATGCTAACACAGAACCACTTTTTCTTCACTACTTTTTCTTCAGCTGGAAGGAGAAACCAGTCTCTAGTCCTGCCAAGGTACGCACATCTTTTTTTCTGAGAGAAATTAAAAGTACATGGTCTTACCGTGCTGAGAAAGTGCTAAAACACACTATTCCTTCCCACCATCCAGATCTTGGGAAAACTAGGAAGCCGCTCCGACTATATGCCAACTTCATTTCACGCAACCTCAGGCTGATTTCTGTCATCCTCTACCCCTTCCCGCTCTCCTTGACAGATGCAGAAGGAGCAGGCTGCTCCAGCCAGTGTGCTGCTGTTGCCCTTCGTAAGGTGCAACCAAACTCCTGCTGTGTTTCGTTGGTGCGTTTCAGCTGGAACCAACACCAACATGATAAGCAAGAGGAAGTGTAAATTGAGATAGAGTTTGCCTTGCAAATCAATGTAGTCCAGGTATTTTGTAATTACAACTACAAAACAGTGGGTTTGCTGTGGAAATTAATGTGTTTATTTTCCATCCCTGTAAGGATACCAATGTAAAATATTTGGCTGTCCTAAAAATGTTGGCATTTTAAAAAAGTTATCTATTCCATAATAAATTTTGTCCTCTCTTTAATCTCACTTGACTACCGGGGATTCAGGCAGTTTCCATGCATCCTAAATCTGTCCTGGATGACAGATTGTTTGTTTAGTTCCCAAACACTGGGAAGCGAAGTTACCAAGAGACAGGTAATTACATATGGATGTTGCTTCTGGAGCTTGTGTTAAGGCCATCCAAATAAATCTTTACTGATAATCATCCATCAGGTGGCATGCTAGTTCTGCAAAGAACAAGGAGCTTTATGGATAAAAACATTTCAATTGGAAGAAAGCTTAAAAATTTTAAAAAATCCAAAACATATATTTTGAAATAATGTTAAGTCATAATCAGAGATTCTGAGGACCTTCAGAAGTCCTGCACTTTGTATAGTCTTTTTAAGACATATGCACTGGCAAGAGATTATTTTTTTTCCCCTCCGTGTAAAGTTCCACTACAATCATCCAGGATTGGTACTGAACGTTTACATTTTTCTATTCCACTTCGGAGTAATAAAGACCAACATATACTTGTTCTGTTAACAGAGGCACTGAGATCCAAAATACCTACACAATCAAAATAGAAATAAGCAAAAGACCAGACTTCAGTTGACTCAACAAAACCTCCCACAAACTCCAAAGAGGAAGTTGTCCCCCCCCTCCCCGTCCCGCCCCCCCTTGGGAACTTACAAAAGAGTTTTCTAGCATAAATGCAAAGGCATTTTTAAGTGATTGAAAGGGGAAGGCAAAGTAAGATACAAGATTATTTTGGCAGGGATGACAAGATTCTCACACTGTATGGAGGTGGATGATCTGACTTCCTCAGGGAACGAAAAGACATTCTCTTACGTAAAATACTTAATGATTGTTTTTAAAGATTTATTTCAGACGTCTTGCTTGTTTGCCAAGTTTGTGCAAAAAAATCCACTATCTTGGATATTCCTTTGAATTCTAACAAAAATGTATGCAGAGCCACCCTTTTTAATCTTAGACCTTCAAGCGCCAGGAAAGGAAATGGAATAAGAGCTGTTACAGAAATTCTGTCCTGGATCTTTAATTCTTACCATCTGCTACAAAGTACATGGAATTTGGGTTGGAAGAACTATTACACTGACAAAATTAATAAAATAAAAAAAATCAAGAACAGTGAAAATATCAGCTATTTCAATACTTGGCATACGATGAAACCCATGTACATGATGAAAATGTCTCTGTCCTCCCTAGTATTTAATTTGTAGTATGAAGTAAAACAGGTTGAGTGTATTCTTACTTTTTCATGAACATAAACTTTGCTAGAAAGTAAACTGTATTATAAATCTGATGAGTTTTCAGTTCAGGCTTGAGCCTGTGGAAAGAGAAAATCAGGAAAAAAATATTCTTACACATAATTAAAATATTTTCTTTTTCTTTTTTTTCTTTTTTCTCTTTTCAATCCATTTATACTTTCTTGTATAAGCAGAAGATGATTTTAAAAACATAAATCACAGACTGGTCAACTTGGTTGACCAAAGACGTCATCAGAAAGACACTGTTCTGTTTCTGAACTCTCAATTTCTTTGATAACATCCCTGATAGGCCCTGTATCTTTATAGGGATATAAATTCAAAACTAATTTCTCTGACCTGCTCGATATGAGAGACCTCATTACAAAAGGATAATTGCTGAACACAGACTAAAACTAAATGCCAGTACAGAAGAGATGAAGTGTGTTTCATCCACCTACCTTAATTGTATTACATCCTTACAATTACAAGCTTAGATGTGATTAAAAACACTGCTTGGATCTCTTGGATATGCCAACACCAGTATAAGCTTTGACAGTGCTGAAAGATATTTTTTCACATCAGTATTGTGCTATATATCATGAGACTATTCATTTCCCGACTTTTTACAGCTGCTGCCTACAAGAGCACTCAGGATAAAGTGAAAAACAGAGGTTGCACAAATTATATGGTTTGCATCATGATAAAGATCGTGGGATTGAGGTCCAGCAGCTTTCCTCAGTCCCTCTGCTATTGTGAAGATCTCATGATTAACATCAGGCAAAAAGCTCTGGCATCATCTGCTGCTGGGGCAAATGATACCAGTACTGTGAATTTCAACATACAGGGATAGGTCCAGCAATCCTCCTCAACAGGCAATCAAAACACTGGTATTCCTGGAGCATAAATCTCTTGACTGGCTTTATTTGCCCCATTCAACAGCAGGTACCGGTTTTCAAAGTCACTGTGGGCTTCAGCTAACTCCTGAGACATGTAGGCTCCAGATAACAGTTCTGTTATATCCCACTCCTTTGATGTCACAGACACCTTACATTTGTAATAGAACTGGATAAAACCAAATAGAAAGAGTGGAGGAGTAAAGTGGCAATGGAAGGAATAATCACAGAATCATTTAGGTTAGAAAAGACCCTTAAGATCACCAAGTCCAACCATTAACCTAACACTGACAAGTCCGACGATGTCCCTAAGCGCCATGTCTACCCGTCTTTTAAATACCTCCAGGGATGGTGATTCAACCACTTCCTTGGGCAGCCTGTTCCAGTGCTCGATAACACTTTCAGTGAAGAAATTTTTCCTAATATCCATCCTAAATCTCCCCTGGTGCAACTTGAGGTCATTTCCTCTTGTCCTATCACTTGTTACTTGGGGAAAGAGATCGACCCCCACCTCGCTACAACCTCCTTTCAGGTAGTTGTAGAAAGCGATAAAGTGTCCCCTCAGCCTCCTTTTCTCCAGGCTAAACAACCCCAGTTCCCTCAGCCATTCCTCAAACGACTTGTTCTCTAGATCCTTCACCAACTTTGTCTTCTTTGGATGTGTTCCAGTATCTCAATGTCTTTCTTGTAGTGAGGGTCCCAAAACCGAACATGGTATTCGAGGTGAATCTTGGGAAATTGTTCCAGATCTTCACTGTTCCAATGGTTAAAAGCCTTCTTGTACTGTCCAGTTTAACTGTACTGGTAGCAGTTGATATCAGCGTGTTCTCATAGCAACACTGCTCCTTTGCTTATGTAGTTATACTCTCATCTTCCAGTTTGTTCTCTTGACGTACTTATGGAGATCAACCCTAGTATCGAAGTCTTCGTTACGCCTAATTAAACAGCCCATCTGACTTCCAGTGCTCCGTGACACAGAAGCAACACAAAACCCCCCAAACTCATGGAAAATAAACAAAACATTCCCTTTGTTTTACCTCCTCTCAGATTACAAATTGTATTTATTTACTCTCTATGGTACCTTAGTTTCACAGGCTCTCCTCTCCAGCGAATGTAAATAGAGGATTACCCTACCTCTTACTGAGCATTGTTGCAGCCATTACAATGGATGCAGTATCCAGCCAGGTGGTTGCTTCTGAAGTGAAGAGAAGCAAACGATTTAAAATCAACACTTTAAGTCATGCAACTTTTAAAAGGGATAGCTCCTCATTAGTCAGAGCAGTTTCTCCCATTGATAAATAACAGCCGACATAAAAGGTATTCCAAATTTACGCACACAAAAGCTGGCTTCTCTGGATATATTCCAGACAGTAGCACCTGCATCAGCTTAAAAAGGCTTGCAACAGGAAGACTCAATGCAGCAGAACTCAGAAGTTTTCACTTTGATCCCCCAAAACCTCAGTTGATGACTTTTCTAATTGTCATGCAACATGTATTTTTCTCTTGTAAAATGTTGGTGGGGAAAGTGATTTTCTATTTTGAAGGGACTAAAAAAAAAACAGCAAAACAACCAGAAGTTCTCAACACCAACTACACGGATGAAAGAAGGTCATTCTACTTTTCAGCTGTTTTAAATCTTGGATCTCTTGGGAAATGCTTAAGGGATATTTTAGTTTTCCTTTCATCATCGGTAGTGACACCTAAAACCTTGAACATCACCAATAAAAGCTGTTACTCATTCTTTCGGAATTCAAAAGATACTTTTATAAGCTGTTCTAAACCTACATGATTGCTTGGAGCATGTAACAGTATTCTTCACACACTGCTCTACTGTAGGATGAAACAGTGCCATTACACAACTCAGTCGCAGACAGGGGGCCAAGACATGGTCTTCTATAGCAAAGCTTGAGTTTCTGCTCCTTCTCACTGTTTTTCATTTCATCAAGAAATTTACTATATTGGACATAATGTCTATTAATGATTTATCTGTATACCATTCATGATTTAGAAATACGGCTTTACAGACTTAATGCAGAGTTTTACAAGCATCTAGTGGATAAAATCCTATGCTAAGTGAACAGAAAACCTCGTATGTGCCGTAAGTTAATATTCAGAGGAAAAATTAACATAACAGCGCCTAGTTTGTTACAGTTTGAGTTTTAAAACAAATACATAACCCTTTCCACACCATATTCTGTTTCCAACAGAACACGTGTTGTTGGCAATGAAGTCAGCTTCTGGCCCCATAAACAGCCACTGCAGACATTTTAACAATAATCTATAGCCAATTTTTACAAGAACTGCAGGAGGTTTCTGGAAGAGAATTTTTCAGGGGAAAAGATTAAAAGCACCTACAGGCAAGTCATTTAAAAGCCAGCATGCTAAAAAAATAAACCAACAAAAGTGAAAAATGAAACCTGCATCTCCCGGCTTTGGTGCTAAGTTTCCATCTTCCTTTATCAGGAGATGCAGGATAAACCCTGAGGACTTTCAGCATGCTGAATTTACTTGTTACAATAAAAATCCTATTGTTCTTGTTCATTTACATAGCATTTCTTGATACAATAGTGTCACGATATTACCCTGGGAAATGTGTAAATTAAACCTTACCATTCAAAACTTTGGAGCATATGACTGTACATTTGTCAAAAACCAAAGTTTCAATGAGCCCCTCAAAAGCAACATTGCTCTTCCTAGACCTATTTAAAACTATTCATTTTCAAGATTTCAGTAGGTCTTGATTTCGTACTTCTTATCACTGTGCTTGACAAGCTGAGCTGTACGTATTAGTGGTGCACCAAGAAATATTTGTGAGAATCATGCAAGTTTATCTCAGCCGTTTCTAAACAACACAGAGTAAAAAAACCACCAGATTTTAATTGTTTTCTTACTGGGAAAAAACCCAGGGGCATTAAGAATGAATCTATATTTTTTTGTGAAAAGAATATTTATCCAAAGTGATAGACTGATGGACGAGATTAATCTCAAATGCCTTGAAGTTACAGCTTGTGAGACTGCAGACAAATCAAGCAACTGACACATCAAATTAGAAACTAATCTTGAAAACATTTAAGTATACTTGCAAGACAATGTAAGCACTGGGCAGGCAATAAGCCATTTACCTCAGCAAGCTGGAATTACAAATACATTATGCCTTGTCTTAAAGCAATTAAGTCGGTATATTAGTAAGATCAAATCAACTATTTTTTTAAGTTCTTGATCTAAATTGAAAATATTTCCATATGTCAAAAATGCTTAAGTGATTATTATTCCAACTGCACATCCATTGAACTTCAGTTCCTTTTTCACAATTTACTACAACGCATCCTGCCATTGTTAATTTTAAAAGTTCTTTCTGAAATTATTTTCATGAGATGTATGCATTTATTTTTTTTAAAGAAAGCAAATGGCCAGAAAGGCCATTTTAAGGAATTTGAAGCAATTGGAAGCAATGTATAAGGTTGTTCCAGGACAATGTAAGTTGCAGATGGCAAAAATGGGATGGGATTGATTGAAATGCCTCCTATAACATAAAAAGCCAGTGACTGCATTACTGCATCATAAACTCAAGTGTATTTTGAATTCTTATGCACCCCTAACAGGGGAGGACATACTTTTAAGTGCCTTTTCCCTTTGATACTGAAGTACTGGACAAGAGTATCTTTCAGGGAATGTTCATGGAAACTACACTGTCTTTCAATGGCTGCAGCCATGCAACATGTCAGCATTGCAAAAAATTTTATGAGTTCTAACCATTCATACTCACATGCTAAATGAAGGCTATTTCAGTATAAATGTCTCAGCTGTCATTACTTTCACATGTAATTGGAGTTCAGCTACAATATATTTCAAAGGGTTTTCCTTTTCTCAAAACTAAAGGCTGGATTGTTACAGATGGTAATTTTGGCAGATGGTTGTATATGAAATTGAGTTTATAATTAGGCCAAATCTGACTTGTGCAATTAAGGCAATGAAGATTTGGAAAATAAGAGGTGTTAGATTGGTACATGATCAGTCTGGTAGCCACAGAAAACTGAAGAAGCCTGATCATTCAAACCTACAGAATATATTGCCTATTTGAAAATTTCTCCTTAACTGCATGAATTACAAGATAAGCAGCCTTTCATGCTCAGAGTGTAAACTCAAGTAACCATTGCCTTTTACCTACTTAAGTGTATAATCCTTTTTTCTGCATTGGAGGTTAATGAGATGGTCTGAAGCAATCTAGCAGCTCCCTGCTGCTGAGAGAGGGCTCTCAGTGTCTCTTTCTCTGCAGTTTCCCTCCCTCTGACATTCACCCGACCCCTCAGCAAGTCCGTAAATTCACAGTGACTAGCTAATTCAGCTCAGAGACAGAAAACTAATCCCTGAGGAATGAGTGGAGGAGGAGAAGAGATGTGCAAGGATGAGGAGACTAGGACTACTCCTTTCGGTGGAAGTGACCTCTTGGGCTCACTGACATTTATCAAGCTGCATTTCAAGCCATATTATACCTAGTGTCAAAAAGCTTTCCAGACTGGTAATTGTGTGTGAAGGTACCATTGCCTGTTTTAGCATCTTCTGACTTTCACTTGTGTAAAATATTTGCTCTTCCACCAAGGAAAGATCAGTAATGTCCAGTAATCATTTTCTCTACTACTTCTTGCATATCACTCAGTAGTTTCTTGCCCTCAGCTTCCAGTCCCCCCTTCATATGCACACTGTTTCCATGTAATGCTTTTGCCTATTTTAGGACCGCTATTTCTTTTATATTCTTTCTTCTGATGGAACAACCAGGACTTTTGTCAAGATGGCTGACTACCTCTATTATAAAAGCATTAGTTTCTATGTTTCTCTTTCTGCTCCTGCTGCATCCCAGTATGTCGGTTGATTTGTTCTACCACAAGTACAACACAGGGATTTTTCATCCATTTTTCCTGACCAAGTGTTGCTACAAGAACATTAAAAAAAGAGTTTGTAAATAATTTTAGTAAACCACTGAAAACTGCTGTTGTTAATGTAGCTACAATTAGTTCAAAACATTCCTTCCAAAATGCATCCCCCTTGCTCTTCAACACCATGAACTCCACTTGCCATCATGCCATCTGTTCTCCTATCTCCTCTAAACCTTTACAAAGTTCCTCAGAATCTCTTTTAATTTCAATTAACCTGAGTAATTTATGTAGCTTGCACATGTTGTCATCAGTCTGTGAACCCTCTTACCAGATTGAACTATATGAGGTTGCTGGCAATTAGAGAACATTATCTCTTAGGTTTTTGCCATGTTACAAATTAATGACTTATTCCTACACTTTGCTTTCTGTCCCTAAATAATTTTTT